TATATCTTCTCTTTCCAAATTATACTTAGGGAGCAATTTTCTAAAAGCATCGCCCAGAGCCCCCTCGTTGCCGTATACTGCTGCAGTATCTATACCAAAACATGAAAAACATTGTTTCATTACTGTCAGGTCTTTACATACTATATATACTATGTAAGATCTTTACCACTTTATATGAGAAAATAGAAATAAGAAATGTTGACAAGAGGTAAAAATATTTGTGATTAAAGAAAATTTATTTTCTCAAAGTAATACATTATTTCACATACAAAAAAAATTGAAATTGTATGTTAATATATATTTACCAAATAAACGATAACCAGCTGCCAGAGCTTCATCCACAGCCTGCACGATAACATCGGGTTGGCGCACCCTATATGTGCCCACTGCAAAAGATTTTCATTTCATTATCAATCATTAGCTTTATTCATAATGTTTGTTTGTTTATTGTAGGTACAAATTGTTTTACTAAATGTTTTAACTTTAGAATAACTTAATTTCTTTCATAATTCATAATTCCTTATTGCATGTCACAAAGTACAAAGTTCGAACAATATATTTACAGAACATGTGACACCCTGTAAGGGCGTAGCATATTAAAACAGAGTTTAAATTTTAATTAATATGGAATTTTCATTTCATTCAAATTACAGTATTTATAGTAGTATTTATAGTACACGATATATAAATTATATTATAAAATGTCAGATTAAATAATACTTACTTAATAATATTGCCAACTGATCATTCGTCGTTTTTATTTAATAAATAAAGTTTATAAATTTTGATAAAAAATACTAACAATGTCAAATATGTAAATAGAAATAAAGAAAATTGTCAAATAAATAAAATTGATTTATAATTTATCATTAAAATATTCATTCAAACTGTAATATGTTTTTACAATAAGCATTTTCTTGAGTACTATTTCAAATTTACGACACTGGAGGGCTTTTATTGTATTAGGTAAATGGTTGTAAACCCTTATAGCCATGTAGTAGGGACCATTTTTATATAATGTGAGATGTGTGGCAGGAGCAACCAGATTATAACCTCGGCGTGTGCCGTAGCGACTGGGTCTATCTTCAAACCGCTGGCAATAATGAGGATTTTTCCTAAGAAATCGGCATAATTCAAAAATGTACATGCTCGTTACAGTTAGTAAGTTATATCTGGGAAACAACCTTCGACATGAATCTCTTTCTTTTAAAACTAATTTAATTCAATTAAAATTACAATGATAAAATCAGTATATGTATAAAATACTGTAAAACTAAAAGGAACTTCTTTTTGTAAAAAACTTTTTTAAACTTATCTATCAATGAGCTATGTTTTGTAAAGAGTCCAATGTTTTATGGATATTTTTTATTTCGATTTTTTTATAATTTACTTAATTTTTGTTTACTGTGTGTTTGTAAGCTCGCAAGATAAACAAACAGCTGTTAAATATATAACACTATAAATCATTGGAATAATAATACTCACATCCAACTGCAGGCAACTTATTGCCGTTGTTGAGCGTAAAGGTCATCGATGAAACCGGAGGCATAACGGCATCCATATCTTTTCTTCTTGATGCACTTATACCTAAATTAAAAACATTTAATATAATAAATGAAAAATTTAAAACATATATCAACAAAAACACATGTCAGCAACAACACATAATCTGTTAAATATTATAAAGGTACATTAATATCTCTAAACACAACCAAATGGGTAAACTATACTATGTACTAAAAGGAAAGCCATAAGGCACTGAACAAATCCGAAATACAAATCACATCACAACAATCATTAAAACATCGTGCATATACATTTATAAACAAATTAAGTAGGTAATACCTGGCTTAATTTTTACTAGATATTTCTAAGCGGAAAAATTGTTTGGTTGCAGCGCGCAGAAGTTACCTGTACTTTATTTATAGTTAACGTCGTTGCATTATCGATTGTCCGGGGGTAGTTTATAAACGTAAACGACAATTACGTCCAACCGAACTACCTTGTCTAGTTATCGATTAGTTCACAAGCTTGCAGAAATTAATCAGATGAACATTCAAATTCGACATTTATCATTTTTCTTCGAATGCTTATTGCAATATAGAGAAATTTAACAGTAAAATACATTAGGATTCTCAAACATTATACCAAAATTATATATCTCTCTAGTATATATTCAGTAATCTATGGGTATATAGACTTCTATTAGTGATGTCAAGCGGTTTTATGAAAACCGGTTTTTAAGAAAACCGGTATGTACAATTTATTTTGCATGTCAGCAGCCCAATAACTTAACTCCGTCAATCAGAACCCTTAAGTGTAGCAGTGGTCGGGGGTTCCCCGATCAGAGACAAGTATACAATTCAGCAATTTTCTTTAAAATCAAAGTTTGTGCCATATTTAATTTCCTAAAATAATTATTTGTTTATAATAAAAAAAAGAACTGCAAAAAGCTTTATTATGTTTTGTTTAAATAAAAAGCAATTTCATGTCAATTTTCCCTGTAGTCTTACGTAACCTATTAATTTGGTCTATTTTGGTGGTTTGCAGGATGCCAAAAGTAAAAGGCAAATCTCTCACAAAAAATCATTTTGAGAAATATAATAATAATTCGGCTAAATGTCAGTTATGAAAATATGTTGGCTCATCTCAAGAGAAGTCTTCCACAGGTAAAAGTGTCAATCAATCCTGGGAAGCCAGTCTGCAATGTATCCCGCTCACCTCAAATAATACTGACAAAGAGCGTCCACGGAAAATCATTATTGAAAGTAAGTTGAAAATGATGATGAGCAACAACAAAAAAGAATAGATGAATATCTAACATTGATGACCGCCACCGATTTCCAACCATTCTCCTCGGTTGAAGATAAAGGCTTCACAAGGTTTGTAGAAGCTTTAAATCCTAACAAAAAAAAAGATATGATTTGATACCCGCTTTATACGCAAAGGTGAAGACACAGCTTGAGAGTTTGTTAAAAAATACAGAATACGTGGCACTAACCACGGTGACGGTACATTTTTTCATGAATTTAATTTGAAAGATTCAGGTTTTGACAACGTTGCAAGTTCCTAATTCGCATACTTCTGGAAATTTCGCAGAAATCATGAAGAACTACATAATGGATTGGAAAGTTAAAAACAAAGCTGCTGCTACTATTGTGACTGATAACGCTTATTATATGAAAAAATATGTGAATTGCTTGAGATACGGCACATGCCGTGCTTTGTCCACACTCATAATTTAACTTTTGAAGAAACGCTACAGGTGGTACAGGTGGAAGGAGTTATCAATAAATACAAAGCATTTTTGAATTTTTTCAAGTCGACTGTTGCAAGGGCGTGCGCTGAACGGAAAGAAGGAAACCGTAATGCTCAGCCACTAAAACTAATTCAAGATATTACCACACGTTGGAACAGCAAATTTTATATTATGACCAGAATAAAAAATTGTCCAATGAACTGGCACTGGTATACTGAAAAGTAAATCAGTCACCAGAATTCCTCAACTCTTCTGCAGAAAAAATTGTCAAACATGTGGTAAATATTTTAGGAATATTTTAAAACGCAACCAAATTGGTGAGTGCTGACCAATATGTGTGGCAGATTATTTGAAAACTTCAACACTATCGAAATATTACTGGAAATATATGTAGGCAAGATATTCTTCTCAGCAGTACGGCGTAACACAAACAGCAGATTGTTGCCCTACGAAACAAGAACCGACACAAAATTCTACATATTTGCATCTAATCTTAAGGACCGGTTTTTGTCAACCTGAAAATATGTTATAAGTTATTGTTACCAACCTGAAAATATGTTGTAAGTTATATTATATAAGTTGGGGAGTCCGATACTGGACTCTAATAACAAAACAGATGCTCCATCCTCTCATTTAATAGTAGGTATTACTGAACAGGTGGCAACAAAGGAGCCGGGAATTTTGGACTTCTTAAAACAAAGAAGGACTGAGAGTGATGTTCCAAACGCGACTGTTGTGCAGTAAACATAAACAAAATAGCAGCAGCACAAGCACAAACCGAGACTGAGCCTGAGTGAGAAGGCAAACATACAAAAGTCGTTGGCACTTACTGGGAAACCAATAAACATGTGGCGCCACTTTATAATATGGCTTTAAAATATCTGTCAGTGCCAGTGACTTCTATACATTCGGAACGAATGTTTTCAACTTCCAGATATGACTTGTCATCGCGAAGGAACGGGTTACTAGGTGATACAGTAGATCAACTTTGTTATATCCACCAAAACTATGACTTGATTAAGTTAAAGTAAAATTTACAGCCTATATACGTCCCACTGCTGCACAGGCCTCCCCTCATTCCTGAGAGGGTTTTCTGAGAGGGCAAAAATGATTTGATTAATTAATCAAAAATAATGATAATTTTTTTATTAAATAAAGGTTAAAAAGAATTAAAAAAACTCAAGTTTTTCATTATTATGTGGATCCTAAGAAACCGAAAAAACTGTTTTCTTTTTAAATTACTAATCGGTTTACATTGGTGCTGAAAATTGTAATCGGTTCCATCACTAACTGCTATAATAACCACATACACTCCTATTACACTACCCTGAATCAGGCTCCCTATGCCCTGATTCAGGGTGATGTAATAAGAGAAAGGGAGTAAGGGCCCTAATTAGGGCGACAAAGTGCACCCTGTCTGCAGTGCCCTTGCCACCGTGTAGTGTAATAACACTAAGGGTAGTTAGGGATGAAAACGATACATCAATTCCTTCAAACATCGATATATCGTTCATAAATATGGTTATTCATGAGCGATGTTTTGTGAACGATGTTTTGGCTTGCCGTCAAAGGTTTCGAAACAACCAACTATTTGAAGGTATAAAATTCCGTATGTTAAAAGTTGCAAACAATGATTATCACGAATTTTATATCACCAAAAAATATATCTCAAAGTTAGATAATGTCTAATTTTTTAAAGTTGGAGGGTTTATTTAGCAGAAATATCACAATCCCGAAAATTTTAATTTTGAATCAACAAACATGCGAATGGTCTATTGTCATTGTAATCGTCAATAAATTGTACTCTCGACTCAAATATACTTGAACTATCGAGGTGCAATTATCACAATCGGTTATTTTATTTTTGATGTAAAATTATGGTTTATTTTTACTGTGGTAATAAATTAACATAAGTTTACAATTAATTATTTTATCAGCTTACGATACTTCGTATTTCGTTACAATCACTTTTCTGAAACATTAATTTTGATGGATGAACGGTTATTCAACTGCTTGTAATTCGGTATAGTTTAGTAGATGTATTCAAAAAATGTGATAATACTGAAGGTGACATATGTAACTACCTAAAAGAAGTAACGCACCAAAACATAAGAAATAAAACTAAAGCAGAAGAAGAGTTTCATATATTACATGCGTTGGAGATGTGGGATGGCAAGAAAGGGTTATTTCCCGGGCTTCATAGCCTAGCTAAGATCTATTTGCCTATCTAGGCAACTTCGGTATCCAGTGAGCGGTTATTTTCAGAGGCTGGATCAATAGGTGGTGCGATTCGAATCGCACCACTTATTATTTACTTATTTTGTTCTAAACATTTCACACACCTACGACTGTTTTATTAGATATGCGAATCGCACCACTTATTTTGTTCTAAACATTTCACATACCTACGACTGTTTTATTAGATATGCGAATCGCACCACTTATTTTGTTCTAAACATTTCACATACCTACGACTGTTTTATTAGATATGCGAATCGCACCACTTATTTTGTTCTAAACATTTCACACACCTACGACTGTTTTATTAGATATGCGAATCGCACCACTTATTTTGTTCTAAACATTTCACATACCTACGACTGTTTTATTAGATATGCGAATCGCACCACGTATTTTGTTCTAAACATTTCACACACCTACGACTGTTTTATTATATATGCGAATCGCACCACTTATTTTGTTCTAAACATTTTTTATAAATATATTATATATATAATATATATATATATATATATATATATATATATATATATATATAAAAAAATATATATTTTTTTTTTTTTTATTTTTTTGTTTTGGATGTACACAACAGTTTACATTCAATTTTACGTAACATAAATACCTATTATACACAAAGTTTTGACCTGGTATACAAACCAAAAACACGTACATACAGTTGCAACATGAATTATCCGTAAACATATTTATGTATTATATTTTACTCAAAAAAAAAACAATTTATAAATTTAACAAATTTTACGACAATATAGTAAAAGTTTATTATGACGATAAATAATTAATGTGGAGTTGACTTGAAGTAGTGGAATAGTTGAGTACGTAGCTTATTTACATTATTGTCAAAGACATCAATGTCCTTACCTGACTCCGTTAGAACTATATCATTATAAGAGCGACACATTCGTGTTAAAGGATTGTAAAATGAAGTATTGTTCTTATAGACGTTTAATATAAACGTATTAAGACGACGCCTGGGATTTGACTTAATATTGAAAGTGATTTGGGATAAAAGATTTGGGGAAACAATTTTGCAGTGTATTAGTTTATGTAGGCAAAGAATATCTTGTATAGCACGTCTATTACGCAGTGATGAAACTCCAAATGTAAGTAGTCTCTCCTGATAAGACGGTAGCTTGCGACTTATTTTCAGCCTATAACTAACTATCTTAAGAGCTTTGTTTTGGATCCGTTCTAGACGCTTGGAGTGCACTTCGTAAAATGGAGACCATACAACAGAACCATACTCAAGAGTACTTCTTATCAAAGCATAGAAGAGATGTATAAATGTGGATGGTTTTTTGAAATGTTTGGTTGTTCTGGTAATAAAACCTAATGTTTTGTATGACTTAGAAATAATGTAATCATAATGATTTCTGAAAGTAAGTTTTTCATCAAAGTAAACACCTAAGTCTTTTGCAACTGAATTTCGCTTAAGAATCTGACCTTTAAGTATATAATCGTGATTTATTTTATTACGTTTGTTGGTAAAAGAAATAACGAAACATTTTTTTATATGTAAGTACATACAGTTTTGTTTGCACCAGTCAGCAATTGTGTTAGCATTATTTTGCAAATCAATACAATCATTAAGGTCATTAATTTTCTTGAACACTTTGAGGTCATCTGCGTATAATAGACAAGGACAGGTTAGTTTTGGGATTAGGTCGTTTATGAAAATAAGAAAAAATAGAGGGCCCAGATGAGATCCTTGTGGTATACCTGATTTAATGATGACGGCAGTTGATTTATACCCCTTTACAGTAACTAATTGGCTACGGTTTTCTAAATAAGACTGTATCCATCGGAACAAATTACCATGGATGCCGTACCACTTGAGTTTCTGAGAAAGCAATGCATGATTCACTTTGTCAAAAGCCTTACGAAAATCGGTATATATTGTGTCAACTTGACCACTTACTGCGAAGGCTGAACAAAGATATGCCTTATATTCCAATAGATTTAATATTGTGGACTTTCCCTTGACAAAACCATGCTGTTGCTCAAAGAGAGCTGGTTGTACATGATAATAAATTCGATCATATATTACAGATTCAAACACTTTCGCGATACAAGAAAGAATACTGATCGGTCTATAGTTTTCGCATAACGAATAATCACCTGATTTGTGTATTGGAACAACATGTGCAAGTTTCAACTCTGATGGAAACGACCCTGCTCTTAAAGACTTATTAAAGAGAATTGTCAAGGGTAGACTTAGTTCAGTAGCACATCTTTTGAGGAATGTAGGTGGTATTTGGTCTGGTCCTGCCCCTTTATTAAGATTTAGTTGCTTTAATTTAAGAGTTACATCATGTTTTGACACAGTAAATTCCGATAGCACATTTTCACACATTTTGAGTGATGGCAGTACTGATTGGGTGGAATCTTCGAATACTGAACTAAAGTACTGCGATAGTAAATCGCAAATTCCTGCTGCGTCTGAAGCTCTGGCATTACCAAGCGTTATTGGGCCTGGGATACCTTTTTTAGCTTTTCTGTTATTAACAAAACTCCAATAGGCTTTGGTATTCGTTTTGATAGCGTCTTCAGTTACGTTAATAAAAGCAGAATAACATTCCTCCAACAGAGACTTGGATCTAGCACGCAGCATGGAAAATGTATCGTAATCTCGGGGATTACCATACATTTTATACTTCTTTATGGAATTTTTTCTTTTCTGCAAGGCACTTTTTTAGCGCTGTTGAGAACCATATTGGGTGAGTGGAGGCTTCTCTTTTTTTAAAGGAACGTATTTAACAATGATTTCGCTAATTACTGAATAAAAGGAATCCACCGCCAAGTCAAGTTGGTCGTCTGAAAGGAGAGTCCCCCAATCAACACCCTTGATTTCTCTATGTATAGCATCATAGTTACCTTTATCAAAATTAAAACGTTTATTATACTTAGGTTTGATATACTTTGGCTTAGACAGTGTGTTAACCGATATTTCAAGTGGAGGGTGATATTTATCGATACGGGATAATGGACTGGTTTCAGAAATTAATATACTAGTAGAGGAAGACAAAACAAGGTCTAAAGTGCGATCTAATTCATTCCGAACATGATTCATCTGATATAAATTGCATTGAGAAATGTAATCACATAATAATGTAGCCTTAGAGTCTGTGGGACAGCTTAGAGCAAGGTAAGGACTATTACCATTTAGATTAACAGACCATGATAAACTTGGCACATTGAAATCTCCCAGTACTATATTAGTGTCGTTTAAGGATATTGTACTTAAATGTTTATGTAAGTTCTCGTAAAAGTACTTAAGTTTATTAGAGGGTAAATCAGGAGGAAGGTAACAGAGACATAGGTTAATGACAGACTTCATTGGACAATCGAGCAAAACCGATATCCACAATTTTTCAATGTCACTCTCCCATTCTTTATGGCGAATTACCTTAAACTCCTTTTTAATAGCTATCAGTACACCTCCACCTTCAGATTTGTTAATACAAGTAGACTCTCGATCTCTCCGGTATACAATGTAACGACAATCGAACAGCTCATTATCAAATACAGTATGATTTAAGTTTGTTTCAGTTAAACAAATACAATCGTAATTGCAATTTAGTATGTTTAAATATAACTCTGTTGTCTTTGATCTTATACGATTTACATTTTGGTAGTAAAATTTCATGTAAGAACGTTGTTAAGAATCCAAGTAAATGTATCAGTCAATTCAACTATTACAAATTTTTTAATTCACGTAATCTAAAACAAACTCACTTTACTTTAAGTTTCTCAAAGTTACTAAAGTGTCTAATCAATAATGCGTAAAACACGTTCATATTTAACCCAAACATATTTGTATGAGTTATCTTTCGCAAACTTCCTAGCTTCAGCATAAAGCTTTTTGGTAGTAGAAGAGAGATATTCATTTACATATATGGCACGATATTCTCCTTCAATCCCAAGGTAGGTAGAGTTTAAGTGATTGGGGTGGTTAGTCTTGTTGTAACGTTTTAGTGCCGATAATAAAATGTCCCTCTGCCGCTCAGTTTGTAGTGTAAGGAGAATGTTTCGTAGTCTGTCGGACTTTGGATTAATTTTAGCAATTCTGCGAACAGCACAAATGCAGTTCGTATCCAGAGTTACATTCATGGTGTCATAAAGTTTTTGTATAAGATTTAGTAAATTTTCATGACGTTTTTCCGGAACCATCTGGATTTCAACGTTATGGCTTCGTGAGATTTTTTCGACGCTCATTAAACGACGATCTAATGACTCAATATTTGACTTAAGTGTAGTTCGCTCAAGTTCTAGGGTTTTAATTTTATTATTAGCCACCTCAAGTTCCTTTAGAAGGTCATCCTGCCCTTTCTGAAGAAAATCGGTGGCTACCGTGAAATCCGATTCTAACTTATTGATGGTATGGTTAAATTCTTTCGTCACCATTGTATGTACTTCTTGCACTACATCTATCTTGAAAGTACTTAGTTTACGATCGAGTAGAGCTTCGATTTGTTCTATGGTAACGGAGTCCGAGTTTTTTTGTCGCAACGCGTGTTGAGATGCACTGTTACTAGATTTTTTCAAGCGTGATGATCGTTGCAGCTTTTCATCACAGGACATATTAGAAATATCTGTCTGACTTGCTTGGAGGGAACGTATGTCGCGCTTACCAACTGGTGTACTATCATTTCTGCGCCGAGTTATATTAGTACAGGATGGGCAATACCACTTCTGCTTTTTTTCCACGTATTCGTCGAAATACACTTGCTTCTCTATGTTGCAACACTCGTAATGAAACGTATTGTCACAACCAGCGTATTTAATGAGGCCGCCATCTTCGATAATGTGTCTACACGCACCACATTCCATGCTCGTAATTGAATCGAATAGTTCGAAACAATGATCAAGACCAAATACTCAAGATGTTAACAAAAGTCGCATACACATTTGTAGCCAATGAACGATAATGCGTAGCCGCAATGCGATAGCGTATCGTAGCAAAGTTCGTAGCACTTTGTAGTCGATCTCCGAAGTGCCCCGAGCGCCAACGCTAACGCACGAGATTCACAGAGGTGAGGAGACGCAACTAGGTACTCCTTAGTCATAAGCGAATCGGCCCGAGCTCCACCGAAATCGATTGATACCGAAAATGATTGTTACTGATGACGGTGAATTAATAATTAACGCCACCAAAATATACACTGAGTTTGTTGTTATGGCTGTTAATATAACAAAATTCTTATTGCACTACCAGACACTATATTTGATGCACTTTAAAATGATATGAGTTTTGTTAGTATCTATTACCTTTTAACACTATTTATGATTATTTAATCACGAACGAAACATAAACGATGTTTACGGTACCGTATCTACGCACATATATTTCACATACCTACGACTGTTTTATTAGATAATATGCGACTCGCACCACTTATTTTGTTCTAAACATTTCACACACCTACGACTATTTTATTAGATATGCGAATCGCACCACTTATTTTGTTCTAAACATTTCACATACCTACGACTGTTTTATTAGATATGCGAATCGCACCACTTATTTTATTCTAAACATTTCACATACCTACGACTGTTTTATTAGATATGCGAATCGCACCACTTATTTTGTTCTGAACATTTCACATACCTACGACTGTTTTATTAAATAACATGCGAATTGCACCACTTATTTTGTTGTAAACATTTCACATACCTACGACTGTTTTATTAGATAACATGCGAATTGCACCACTTATTTTGTTCTAAACATTTCACATACCTACGACTGTTTTATTAGATAACATGCGAATTGCACCACTTATTTTGTTGTAAACATTTCACACACCTACGACTGTTTTATTAGATATGCGAATCGCACCACTTATTTTGTTCTAAACATTTCACATACCTACGACTGTTTTATTAGATAATATGCGAATCGCACCACTTATTAGATATGCGAATCGCACCACTTATTTTGTTCTAAACATTTCACATACCTACGACTGTTTTATTAGATATGCGAATCGCACCACTTATTTCGTTCTAAACATTTCACAAACCTACGACTGTTTTATTAGATAATATGCGAATCGCACCACTTATTTTCTGGTAGTGCCAGTAATAAGTTATCTAAAATTTGCTCTCAGCTTATTTTAGTAGAGAAAACGAACTATTTTGACTAAGTAATTGTTATTTCAAGCAATGAACGCAAAACATACAGTTTCAACGAGGAAACCTTGTCATTCCGCGTAGGTACTTACCTAGGGGTGCGTGCGGAAGTTTATAAACCATAAGATACAGTTATTACAACTAGTTTAGAAGCCTGGGTTCCATTTAATAGTTAAAAGATTGAGGCAAATAAATAACTTATTATTATTATAATAATCTCACTACCCTCACTCTCTTATCACATTTTTTACTCACGTCCACTTGTATATATATATAAAATCGGAATCTCGGAAACGATTCCAACGATTTTATTAAATTTTGTGTCCTGGGAGTTTCGGGGGCAAAATCTAGCTAGGATTTATTCTTAGAAAATGTCTTTGTCCGTGTTTTCATGCAATGAAAAACTGCTACAATATAAAAAGGTCAATTTTGACATTGTGTTAATGATTGTAATAGCTCAAGTGGACATCGAGCGGTTGAGAAATCGTAATGTTTTGGTTCCCGTCCCAACTTCGGTCCGACTTTTTCTCCTTTTTTTCAAGTTCCCTTCTTTTGTGAGAAAATATATTATTTCGGGCCCTTATTTTATTTTATTTTAAAAAAATACTATTTTAATTAAACTAATTGCATACTTTTTTTAATTAAAACCAGCAAGCTGTCATCATCAGATACAATATATATATATATATATATATATATATATATATATATATATATATATATATACATCACAATATTAACTCTACGTCCTTTCATTTCGCATTTCGATTGTAGCGTCCACCACTTGTAGGCAATTTTTATACATTATGACTGCGAATATTGGTCCATTAAACAATTTCAAAGATAGTGTTTAACTCATTTCTTTGAAAATTTACCCGATTCGTACCCCCAGGACTCCCTCCATATACCTCCCCGATATATAGTTTTTAATTCATTCTCCTGCTTAACGCAATTCATTTGTATGGTGCGACGTTGCCACTCTTATTAGTTATTCCGCTTTGTAATACTTTATTTATAGGTGATATTTTGTTTATGTAGGTATTCGATAGATTCCTAGTCTGTTTTTTTCGCACGAGACAAAAATACAGATCTTTATTAGATTCGTTTAGCACGAATAATATAGTTTTTATGATTCTGGTTCGGATTAAGTATATTTAATTTTAGTGACTTAAGTTTCGTATATTGTTCAAAATAATGAAATAAATCCACAGATTGTGCTGTTACGAAAAATACGCAATATCATTTTTGTTTCCGGCGAAAAAAACAGATAGGTATCATGATTAATTTACCAACTAGTTATTCGTTTACTAAATACGAAAAAATATCTAGGATTGCCCAGCCGTGATAGGTACATTAAGTATAGATTGACTTTATTAATATTTATTTTACTTTTGTAAATAAGTACTAATTGTAGATATTGACAGGTTTAATAGAAGTTCATTTTCTTATATATTGCGACTAATAACCTAATATGACCTTGGGAAGAAACTCATTTTAATATAAGGTTTTACT